TGTGCAGTCAGCTTTCCATAAAATAACAGAACAGTGTTGCAGTTCTATTCATTGTTGCCTTTTATTACCTGCACCAAGTCCATTTTATAGCTCATCATACAGAGGCTACAAATAAATGAAGCATATTAATATTTATAAGTGCTGAGGGCGAGTCGATGTAAACAAGTCATTCATCACAGCAACAGAAGCTTTGCTCCATACTGGGTAAACTTCCCGCCTCCAATCCTGACATTTAGGTGGGATATTAAGTGTTTATATAAAAATTCAGTTTGATGTTTATATTGTTAAGTAATATGAAGAAAAAATATTTTTATTTCTGAAACAGAGCTGTTACAACCTTTAAATTATAGCATCCTGAATGTGATGGGGTCCTTCAGGTTATGTCCTTCCACACTTTGGTGACATTGCTTTAGGGGTGTCACATGGACTCAAATAGCTTGTTAAATATGGCATGTGTTGTCATAGGATCTGTTGACCTCTATAAATCTGCCAGTGAACTGCTGTAATGTGTGACCCTTTACATAAAAATATATCAGATTGAGTTTGTGTGACACAGTTCAAGTAAGATATTCGCCTATTACACGGATTATGACCTTTTGAGACAGATGAAATATATAGCAAATATCATGACCTCTTACTTTAATTAAATTAGGAGCACAATTTAGAATTTTCTTGGTGGATTTCTTCCAGCTGGGTGAGAATTATGCTGATGAGGTCAAAAAAGACACAAACTTGTGTCTTTTACATCACAGACATTTTGACTGGCTTTCAGTCCAGAATTGAAAGCCTATGACTACGCCCCTGCTTCTCTCTCTATCTTTTTCTTTCTTTTTTCTTATTCAGACATGGTGTGCCGACTGGTATGTCTATGTCTTCGTGTCTCATTTGTTCTCCGATTTCTTTAGCTTGGCACATGATGTTTGCTTTGTGAAATTTTGTAGCGTTATTGGTTATTACTGTACATCCTAACCAGGATGACGGTGTGGGTCAGAGAGTAAGATATCAACATAATTTACTCACACTAACTGACTTCAAAGGAGCAAAGGAGAATACTTTACAAAAGTTCTTTCAGGAATACTTATAGGTTTTTTTTTTTTCTCATAGACATCTATTTTACTTTTAGAGATCTGTGAATTAATGGTATCTATGTAATTAAAGAATTAAAAAAAAAAAAAAACAGCCGTTCTAAGTTTGTGGAAACTTTTAGGGAGCCTTCATCACACCCTGACTGCAAATCTGAGTTAATTACTCCCCTCTAGCAGAGACGACACAGCGACTGACCCGTGTATAAAACTTGATAAAACATCTATTTAAGCATAATAACATAAACCTCCGGGGATCTGCTGGGCATAATACAAATCGGCTATAACAAGACACTAACAACCTGAGCACACATTAGCTTGTCAGCTAAAACTCAGCCTGCTGTGTTGCTCTCAGCTGGAGATGTGAGAGAAGAAGCAGTAAAAGGCTGAAACAAAAACCACTACCATCAGGGTAAACAGGTAAAAGGTCCTTCTGGGTGTTCACAAAGATGATGAACTAATAGAACAATCACTTATTCACAGCTTTTTGTGGTATATTAATAATTATTTTTGTTTTAGTTTCTGATTTTATATTAAATCAAAATAATTCAGGATCTGCAGCATTAGAAATGTTTGAAACGCTACAGAATCAGAGAAAATGTAAACCTCATTCCTAATACCGTTGATCCTTTTGTATTTGTCCTTTCAGCAATTGGCAGAAACCCTGGGATTAATCTGGATGCCAGTGCTGATGCTTGTTGGTTTGTCAGCTGCTTATCTCTTCACTGGGACATCACATTGGCTTGAATTTTAGTGTTGTGCCTCTGGCAGAACAACAACTCATTATACAGTAGCTTGTCATTTATTTAAAAACAATATTTTTTTTTTTTTTTTTTTTTTTTTGCCTAATTACAGAAACAGAGATTGATTTCTAAGTTAACCTCCAGAGCTTTGGATCAGTTCATTCAGTTTAACTGAAGCTGGATGCGGTGGATAGTACCGGGATGGACAAATATTTTGAAATTATGGAGCTTTACATTCTCCTAATCTCTGTGCTCTGACTTCTTTTTTTTATATTTATTTAGCATTTATTGTTGCTGCCTTCAGGCTGTTTGCATTGATGGAGAAACTGTTGATGTTGTTACACTAACACTGGGCAAAATAGTCCCTACCACAATTCCTTCTGGGAAACAGTCAATATCTATACCTGCTGAATCTCTCTTTAGCTTTGGTCAGCACTTTACTTCAGGCTTTCTGTCTATAGTCTCACCTCCTTGTGTTTTCCAACTCAACACAACAAATTGCAAACTTTCTAACTTTCCACCAATTTTGTCTTGACTTGGAGTCCACTTCCATGCAAAAGCTAAATAAAAAAAAGTTTTTTTGTTTTGTGTTTTTACAAAGAAAGAATCTGAATTTTGACCTTCATTCAAATGATGATTTTTCTTTATAGAATCACCTCTTGCTGGAAATACAAACAAAGGTTTTTTGTGGGATATTTCTGTCAGTTTTCAACATCAACAGACTGAAATAGCTTGAGCCCTATCAATTTGAGCAGTTATAAATGTAAATATTCAGGTTGTACGATCGGTTTTCAGTTAACATACTTTTATGGTTTGATTTAAACTGTAGATGTCAGATTTACAATTTTTGCTGCATGATAAAGTCAAAGGTCTGGTAGATCTGGTAAACAGGACATCAACCACTAAAACCACAAGTCCCTGAATCCCCTGCTCGTTGATTGGCATTTCAATCAGGACCCACAACTCACCCTTCATCTGCTGACATTCAAAAGTGACCACAGGTAGAAGAGAGTGAACGTCAGAGTAGAAAACAGAATGCTGAATGTCTTTTTCTTGCTACATTAAAATTTAGCTCCAAAGACTGCAGAGAAAGGTAGAAGGATGTAAAAAAAATGTTTGGATTTTTATAGTGGTTCTACATCTTTTTTATGTACCTGAAGCATGTTAAAAAGTTTATAATAATGTCTAAAGAGAAGGAAAAAACTTACTGGCATTTTTTTTTCTTTTGATGAATATCAGTTTGACACCCTGATACATCATAAATCTGGCTGCATGTAAGGGGTTTTTTGTTTGTTGGAAGATACATTTTTCAGGTTTTCTTCTGTGTTACCCTGTAAGCACCTTCATCCAGATTCCAACTGTTTTGTGAGGAAAAGAAACTCCTCAGCATAATACTACTACCACCGAGTTTCTCTGTAGGGATGCTGCATTCACTAACATGTCCGATAACAATTTTGCATCACACAAAGTGCTTTGTGCATATGCAAAACCCTCAGTTTAGAATTAATTTGATCAGATAGTCATCTCCCTCATGTTGCTGTGTTCCCACGTGGTTTCAGGCAAATTTCAAATGGGAATCTCTTCTAAAAATCCTTAATGCTATCAGAGGGTGAGTCTAAAAGTTGTGGTACCAACAGATTCCCTGCCATAGCTGCAAATCTTTGAGCTCTCACAAGAATCACCTACCGGCTGCTTTACTGAATAATCCCTCATTGATCTTTTAGAGATGAGTTGCACAGAATTGTATTTAGTCTTTCTGCATGTAATCCAGTTCCCTCTCTCAGGTTAAAAATATTCATGTTAGGTCAGCTGGTCTCTCTAAATTTCTCTATGGAGTGTGTGTGCGTAATTGTTTGTGTGTCTCTGTGTTGCACTGTGACAGATACCATCCCCCTGCAACTGCATAGGGATACGTGGATATAAACAGTAGATGAATGAATTCAGCCCCATTTAAGCTAAATGGGGCTGAATACTAATGCACTCATTTTCCTGATTTTTATTAGTAAAGTCAGCTTAAAAGTATGCATCATTTTCAGTCCACTGCAACACTATACAGTGCCCTGTGTTGTAACATCAAATCCCAATAAAATGTATTGAAGTTTGTGGTTGCAATGTGACAAATGGTGAAATGTTCAAGGACAATGATTGCTTTTGTAAGACAGCATACTGTAGCTGTCACTTACTCACAGTGAGCAGGTGTATTTGCCATAATCATTTCTAATCAACGTGAGTGAAATCTTCCCCATCATATTAAATCAAAACAGATGATCCAAACCCTTTAGGAAACAAAACACATAAAATAAGCACTAAATATGTAGCCACACTACATTAATAGATGTCAATGGGTGTTCTTGGCTTTAAAGACAAATCTGTGTTGTCAGCCGTGTTTCATATGAATATTCAGCAGCTCCACCAAACTTTTACTATTACCAAAGTTTCTTATTGGAAGTAAAGAGTTAATCAAAAGTTTACAAACTCAGAAGTATTTGTGATGTGCCACAACGCACTAGGAACAAGTTTCACAAGAACAACAGAACATTTATTTTTTCAAAGTAAATGAAATCATGAACTCAATGCTGACACTTCAGAAACTCACTAATGCCTTAATATCAATTATCTCAAAAAATGCAGTGGTCTGCTAGACCATTGCATTTATTATATAAAGGACCATTCCCTCACACTTGCTGAAATATGATTTTTTTATTTATTTATTTAGAGCAGTAATAACTTGCTGTACTGTTAAGTTACACAACCTAAAAAGAAGATTTTTCTGCTAAGCATAAAAATCTACCAATGCAGTGTTGTATTCCAGGGAAGATCCAAGTTCATTACAGATATATATGTTTTGGGCTTACTAAGCTGTTTCTGCATTTAGCGGCGCCCCTGGAGAAGAGCCAGTGAGGAACAAGGACTCCAGTGGAGCTTTTAGAAATACTGCAGGCCGTATATTTTCATTTCCACCTTTCAAAAAGAGGCAAGCCTTTTTTATTTTTCCTTCTAGGAACCATTTTGCCAGAATGAAAAACTGACCAGCAGAATTACGGCACTTTCTGGGTTGGTCACCTTGTTTGGGAGGAAAGGTGAAACTGATACTCGGACATTCAATCTCTTACTTCTGATGATGATAAAGCACCAGGCCAACAATTGGTGTTCATAAAGAAAAAATAAACAGAAATATGAGCAGTATCTCTTTTTATTTCAGTGTCAGACAAAAAGGTACAATAATAAGTATACGTTTGCTGACCAAAGGAGTAGCTTAACAGCTGGGTATGTGGCCAGGAAAGCGGCCGCAGTATGTATCCTCTGTGTTGCATGTGGTACAGTAGCAGTTTGTAGCCACGGGGTAAGTGATGCTCCCTGGACACCCCTTGATGTGTTTCACCTTGTAGGACCAGTCCCCGTTGCAGGTCTTTTGCACAGGCGCCTGTAGATGGCTTCTATAGACAGGGTCCTGTTATCAAAATGGATTAAAGATTGAATATATGAATACAATTCAGTGGGAAGTACTGGTGGAAGAGTTTTACTACATCATGTTTAATAAAACCAGTAATTGCTTGTTTTCAAATGAACATTTTCACAATGAAAACATGAGCTGACAGAACCGAGTTCAGCACAGTTTTAAAGACGAATAAGTCTCACCTTGATATGTTTTGTTAGTGATTATGTACAATTGGTGATCATGAATAACTCAGACAGTTTGAATCCTTCCTCACCTGGGAGCAGCACAGCCCTTCACAGATTGTGGTGTTGATCCACACCTTCTCATCGCATCTCACCATGGGGATGCTGACGTTTTTCAGGTTGCAGCTGAAGCATCCCTTCCCCAGGGCTAGCACCACCACAAAGACAACCAACTGCATCCTCCACCAGGTGTAGCACAGACGCCTGCTGCAAGAGCAGGTCACGTCTTAGATTAGATATTTCAATACTTTAAAAAAAAAGTTTTTCAACCACTTTTATACATCAATTTGATCAGCGCAAAGCAAAAAAAAAAAAAAAAAAAAAAAGAAAAATAAATGCCACTGGCAAGCACTATAAAAACCATCTCAGCAGAAGAAGCAGAACACCTTTCTGTGCTCTGGATCTTTTTGTAATTTCTCAGTGAACCAGGCTGGGTCTATAGACTTGTGGTCTCACCACCAAGCTTCCCAGAAAGGCATTAAAAGTTTGATAAAAATGACTGTTTGACCATTTTAACAGGTATTAAGGTTGTGAATTGAGGGGTCGTGATTTTCTTGCTCAGCCTGTTGGATATTTAAAAAGTTTCCTATGTTGCATTACTACAAAAGTGAAGCAGACACACTCAAAAAAAAAAAAAAAAAAAAAAATTTAAAGAAAATGAAAACATCGTAAGTTGGAGGAAAACTGATACAATTATCCAGGAATACTTTGGACATGTCAAAAGCGTAATAAAACAAAATGTCTGTTCCAGCATTTTGTTTTAGTGTGAAGCCCTAAAATTATCTAACCATTCCCTGAAAAACTTTCTGGCCATTTCTCAGTGAATTTTTTTGTTGTTTTTACTTTTTATTTTTTTTATTTTTTTTCAGGTAATTTAGTGTCAAATTGAAAACTGTTTTAATAAAACCTGGCTGGCTTTAAAAGAGATGATTCAGTCATAAATATCCAAGTGGTGTTTATGAATATAAAAAATTACAGTTCTTATTTGTTTGACTCTTTCTGAGTATGTTTGAACATAGTTATTTCTGATTTCTTTCTAGTCGTTTGAAGGAAAATGGTGATCAGTATGTGCAAATCTAATTTCTGAGTTAAAAATAAAAATTATATTTACATGTTTTGTGAAAAATTAACTTGTTTCTTTTAGAGAGACAACAAAAATCTAATTTATTATACCACAAAAATCAAATTTGTTGTTAAAATTAAAACATAAATATATATATTTTAATTATTTAGAACATAATTTTTAGGTAAATATTTAAAATACATAATAGTAAAACAAATAAAAATTATATTTCTTCTACTGAAAGCAAACTAAATGTGAGAATATGTTTTTTCTACAGATTATCCAGGAAAAAGTTGTACAACTGTTGGAAAATAAAAGTTCCTAAAATGAATTTAACCACAGTAGCAGCACATTTTTGAAGACATTTCATTCAGTTTAAACCTCTCTAAACAGACAGCTTACCTGTAAATCTCTTGTTCATTTAAAATAAAAAGAAAATATCTTCTCAGTCACTCTTGATAGATCTGCAGCAGTTTGCTACTTGACATCACCTCCGTCTGCTTAAATATCGCTAATCATAATCCATCTAATCTTCTCAATCTATTTCCCAATGCATCTTCCACCTACTATGGCTTAACTCAAATCCACATCGTTTTCCACATCTACATGTCATGAATACCATATGGCTCAGGACCTTTGCTCCCACACACTGGGCTGAGCAAGTCTGTTATTTCAGAAGTGTTGTTTAGATTAGATTGATGGAAAGACTCAGATGGAGCACAGACACATTATAAGTGCTCTGCCCCCACACTGCGATGGAAAATGTTGATATGCAGTATCCTGTGCTCTACATCTATTGCTTGTTGTAGCATAGGTCTTATCCATTTGCAGGATTAATGCACATTTTGTGCATTAATCTAAACACACAATATGTAACCTGTGCAACAGTTTGTCCACCATTATTTAGACTGGATGACTTATCTGTCTTGATGTTTTATATCTTGGAGCGTGAACATATTTTTTTTTGGTCTGCAAAAATACCTTTTTATTGTCAAATTTAGTTTAACAAAATAAATTAAAGCAATTTTGGGAACAGGGTCGATCCTTAACCACACCTCTGATTACTCACCCATAGGGTTACAGCTCTTCAACTTTTATTATTTGATTATCCTATAGATTAATCTGATGATTAATCAATTAATCGGATAAAAAACTGGCACATTCTGCAAATTTTTCATTTAACAATTTGTGTTTTTCATGCAATATTACAAACTGATTTTTTTTAAAAATCAAATAAATAATTCAATGTACATGTTGTTTGTACAGTTCTGGCTTAATTACTGCTCTGACTATGTTGTTCTTTCAGCAAATGGTCTTATTTTGAGTCTGCATATGAACCATAGCCTGTGGGCCATTCTCATCAGTAAACTTCTAAAGTTACAATATTGCAGCTTGGTCTTAGTTAGTGAGCCTTTTGGACAATTTCTGTAAATCTATACTCCATATTAATACAGCCCTGGACACAAGGAATCAGAATACCCTATTTTATACTATTTTGATGTCTCTACTTTAGCTTTGAGTCATTTTAAAACTGCAGCCTGAGCTGGACAGTCCACAGTGACAGTAAAGCACTTCTTTGGCAAGGCGTCACGCTTCATCCAGCAGTGCCTCGGTCTGTCTTTGCAGCCGCAAGGGAGTTTATTTCTCCACCATCCTGCAGAACTGCCACACCTGTCTAACAAGGCTACAAGGACTTTTAAAATGTCACCCCGGTCCTCTGAAGTGCTGCTTTCTCTAGTAACCTCAAATATGTATCATTGTTAGTATCCATTCTGTTCTTAATGAGCACCAGCCATAGCTGATTAATTTTGTATGCAGAGTAGGGCACCTAATTTGCCATTTTCTAAGTGGTTTATACAACAGCTGGTAATTTCTCTTGATATGCCTGCATCTGTACTGAAAATATGCTTCATTAAGTCTGCTGACACACATCCTGTACATTCATACACTCATCACACGAACAGCTTTTTTTAATATTCGACCCAGAACTCTGAAAGGGAAGAAAAGACATTCAAGTTTATGTCAACATTGTAGTCCCAAAAATAGCCAAGTCTACCTGCAGCAAGAACAAAAACACACACACACACACACACAAAAAAACAACAACGCAGGGCTAGTAAGGATGTTTTTCTCTTTCCAACAGCAAAAAGAAGATGGCTTGTTCTGTAATGTCACATTCATGTCCACGAGGAATCAGTTTATATGTGATGGATGAAGTGACGGTTTGTGGGCCCAGGAAGATTTTCTGGTTCATATCTCTGAGCAGTACAATAAAATAAAGCTCCTCTGGGTGTAAAAAAACAACAAAAAAAAACTCATATGAGCTGTATATGAAGAGATATAAAAGAGCTCTAAGCTGAACAAGTTGCTGACTTCAGGAATTCGAGTCACAGGTTAATGCTTGAGCGCTTTGGAACAGAGTCGTCTTGGTTTTTTGTGAGCTCAGTGTAAACACTGTCCTGACAGGACTAACAATATTCACAACCCCGCTTGGTCACAACCGGCTTGTTTTTCCTGCAGAAACTTTGCTCTAATGGAGCCGATTCCCCCCCGATCACACCGGAGACAGAAAAACAACCCCTCTGGTTTTGTGATGAAGCTGAAGCCTTCATCTCGAGGATCACCCACACTAATCTCTATAAACAAACGCCTCTACAACCCATCTAAGGTCAAGGATTTTGCATTGTGACTTGGATTCATGTTTCCATGTGAACCGACTGAGAAGCATATTTATAGGAAACATTCAAAGTGACAGCTCCCTATTAACCTCTAAGGAATACAATGCCTTGCAAAAATATATATACCCACTGAAACATTTTTTTTATATTAAATTATTTTAACATAATTTTTTGCTTAGGAGAACAGCATCAAATCAACATGTAATGTGAAGGGTGTAGGATGTTTTTGTTTTTAACCCCGTTTACTTTCTAAATAAAACTTGATGAAATTATTTAGGGAAGGAAAGAGAGTTTTTTTTTAACTAAAGCTTTATATTTCTTGTGTTTAGCTCACATTGTTGTTCCTTTTTCTTCTTTAAGACTGAAGTCACAGCTTTTATGTTTGTTAGATTCTAGTAACAAAATTTGGGATGGTAAATTGCAAAAGATTTTTCTATGTTCATGCACTGGAATAAGATAGACCCCAATCACAATTAGGACAATTCACAGCAAATTTATTGATGTCAGCATATCTATGTAATAAAAATCTAATGTATCCATTATTCGTGCTGTTTTCTGCATCGAGAAAGTGAGAAATTTATTTTATACATAATGTATGTCTGATTTTAAATTCAGGAACTACTGAACTATTGAACTAAATTAAACACACAAAGTTCAGAAAGTAGCAACAACTGTCAGCTTGCTGCTAGAAAGCAAAAAAAAAACAAAAAAAAACTGTAACAGAAAGGCACACTTAACACCGTTTAGTCAAGATATAAACAAATTGTTGATAGAGGCAGTTGTCAGTTAAATTTGCATTTTAGGCCATCTGAGGCCGACAAAGATGAAATAAACATTTAACCCTTATTTTTTTTTACATGAATATTGTTACAACTCCTATATGTCCATTACTGGCAATTGTCCAAAAAGTCAAATGTACTTTCATCAGTCTGAAATAGCAATGTATCTTATGTTGTAAAATTAAAAAAAGGAATCAATTCTCTGCCATTTAAAATGTGGGATTTGTGCGAGAAAAGCTTTTTTTTAATAATAATTAAATAAATAAATGCAAGCTAAGAATTACAATAATATAACACGATCCTTTGAGTTGGATTTGTTCACTGCATACAAGCTTTGATCTGCTGCAGCTCTGACTTCTGTTTAAAATGCATCTTAACCCTTGTATAATAAAACACCTCGCATCTCCACTTCATCTCACCCTATTACTAGCCTCACAACTCCCCCTGGTGCTGACTGAGGTGGATGCTCAATGAAGTGCAAGAAGTGAGGTTGCATGATGAATGTTAGGTGGGTGGAAGGTTGCCTACATGTTGTGCAGACAAGAAAAGAACTCCTCTGATGTATTAGGTGAGTTTGTGAAAGACAAAGACTGGAGACAAGCTTCTTAGAGACACTGAGTGATATTTGCTCCATCAGTGGTACTGATTACCAAAGTATGCTGTGCCTCGGCATAAAATTTTACAATTTGTTTCAGATATCCTCTTAGCTAAAAGATGGGTTACTTTCTGGACAGGCAAGCACCCAAAAATACCCCTGTAGGAATATTGCAAGCAGAGATTTACTAGATACCCTCAGGAGAAGATTAGAGTCCCTTAGAGGAATATTGTTTCTGGAATAACAGGCGGTTCTGTCCTAATTAGAGTGTTTGATTCAAATGAATCAGATGGGTAGAGGTGAATTGGCGATGGCTAATGATTGTTGTGTATTCCAGCAGCAGGCCTTCAGGGGTCCTGCAGAGAGAAAAAAAGCTAATTATCTGAGCAATCAGATTGAAAGAAGTAGGTTTAAAAGGTGCGATGAATTAGACCTTTACTCTACCGTAGCCCAATGGGGTCCAAATAAATCAGGGGGGCAATCATTAAGAAGGACTCAACTGTTACTTTACCAGCTGATACTACTTTAAAAGTCTGTGCTTTATAAAATAAGTCACAAAAGAATAGCAGAGATGCAGCTCGCAAATCTCAAAACAATTATGTTGTTTGTTTAAACTGTGAACATCTTAATTTTTATTTTCAACAAAACTTTAATCTGGCATAAATATGGAAAACATAGGACCAAATGTGACCACATTAATGAGACTCACTATACCTATATATCAGTATTTGAATCCTTAATTGCTTTTCAATAGCAGAACAAGGATTGACTAATTAATACCTAACTGCAGTAATTTGTTAGACTGACAGTTTTGTTACAATCGCCAAGCTGGTGTATATGCTTCAAACAAATCCATTTAATTCAGGCCACTTTTCCTCTGACTGATAAAGGAATTAATAGCAGTTCTTTCTCTGCACCATAGACTATAATTCCTCAAATAATTCAAATATTTATACAGTGCACTTCAATTCAAAGCTTGCCTCTGTCCAGGGGACAAACATGGCTTTATTTGTTGTTGATTTTTGATCAGTGAAAATGACCCGGGGGTAGAAATAGTTTTGCAGCACATATTTTAGCTTTAATTTTTAAGAAGCAACAAAATTAGCATATTTTTAATTAAGAAAACAGACAAAACTGCATATTTGTGCTACCATGATCATAATTCCAGCTAAACATGGTGAAATGTACCAACTGGACTTCAGTGTGGTACAATGGATTTTTATGTCAACACGATGTAGGACACCAATTTCAACAATATTTTTTAAATAAAAACAAAAGAACCCCCCTCTCCACTCTCCGAAAAGCATGGTCAGCTTTACTATTCTGTGTCCCTTCACTTTGATACCCCAAATATAATGTAGTGCAACTTATTAACTATTTTTTCACTTTTGGAGTGACTGTAACCTGTAGCACCTTTTCATTGGCTGCCATTGTTTACTTTTAAACATACGTACATTATTACAGACATTATGTAGTATTTTTAAGTTGCATGCACAAAAAAAGACAGTTATGACTAATGAAATTCTAAAGGAGGATTTTAATTTTCACAAATACCAACTGAGTAATTTCACTTTCTAAACAGGTGATATTCCCATTAGAGTGCTCTAGTAATTATACACCAGAGGGAGGGAGAAACTGTGGGCTGTAATAGTGTTTACTCCCAGAAGTAATGTTAATGTATGCAAAGATTTTTAAAGCTTTAAAACGTGAAGATAACCTTCACTGAGATTATTAAGATACAACATATATAACAGACGTGAATTTAAGAATATTAACAGTTTAATGGAAAAACAGCTCAATAAACATAAAATAAATACTTTGATTAAATTCAATAAAAAAACAATAAGTAAGGCAACCTTAAGATCTTACAAATAATTTCTAAATATGTTATTTATTAACCCAGCTTTATAAACAGTGAGTAAGTATATGAGACTTTTCATACATTGATGAGGATCCCTTTTTGTTTACGCACTAGTCACTTCAATCACCCTTTAAATTTCACACTAATTGTTATTAGTTTACAAGAGTTTGCAAGAATTTTATTAATAACTACTTTGTTTACTATTTTGTTTTTAGATATTATTTATAATTATTATTTTACATTTAGATGATTGTTTTTTTTATTATTATTATTTTGTTATTTTAAATTGGTTCCTTAAATAATTACAGATAAAGACCAATTTGGAAGAATGTATATGTGCAGGATCAAATCAAATACTGTAAAAAAAAAGAAAAAGAAAAAGAAATGCACATGCTAAGATGACAAAACAACAACAACAACAACAACAACTGGTGCCTGAGAAATTAAGGTGCATTTTTATTGAAAAGTGTATTTGTACTCTATAATCACCTTTATTTCGTAGAGATGAACCCAAAGTAAGGCATAAGGTTTTTACAGAGAAGACACCGGTTGCGACCTGATCAAGGACAGAGCAGGCTCGGCTGTGAGACTGCAGCACGGTGCGCAGTGACCGGCTGCATCCACTGGGGGAGGACCGAGCTCCGCCTGCATGCGCTGCGGTACATGAACGACTTTCTCACTAAGACTCTCCATCATCACATACAATGGGAGGGATACAGGAGTAGAGGTAGGGCTACAGCGGCAGACAGACAGATGTGTGATGCTCAGACTCAACCATGGGGCCATTTACCCTCGCCTGTGCCAATGTAAACTTTTACCCACCCTCCTGGCTATTCGCCGCTATCGAGTGGAACTGTCTTTGATGCCAACTCGCTGCTGGCACACCTGCTTTTGCTTTTTTCTCATCTTGATTGGTGTTGCCGGTACAACAGGAGCGATGCAGCACCAACGGGAGCTTAAGTGCCAGTAGATCCTGTTGAATTGAGGCAAGGCGTCGAGACGCAGCCAAAAAAAGTGTCCTCCTCAGAGTGCGTCAGAGCACGGATGTATATGCTGGATGTAGATGTGGATATGGTTGCCCGCCGGATACGATGAGGGATTTGTGATATTACACCCCAAAACCAAGAAGAGGATTTGAGCACAGACGGAGAGCTGCATCCTCACCCAGCATTCCTCCGCCTCCTCCTCTTCCATCAGATTTGTTTGTAGGGGGGGGGGGGCAGAGGCGATTTCTTTTGGCCCCCGTTTTAAATGTAAGTAAGGATGAAAGAATTATACTTTAATATAATTTCGTGTGCAATGTTATTGTAAGCATATATTTTTTTGATGTACCAAAGCTAATAATAATAATAATAATAATGATAATAATAATAATAATAATAAAGTCGTGAAGACGTGTAATATGAGTAGCATCGTGGTCAATGTATTCACAAAAACAACTGACATTACCATAAACGCATCCCCCTTTTTTGCATAGACCAATTGGTGTTTTCTCTCTTGTTTTTTCTCGCAGCTGCTGAGCGCATCGGAGGAACAAAGTCATTCAGATTCATCGGAGCTCCAAAACATAAGAGCGAAGAGCCATAAAAAAATCTCATCTCATAAAAAATGGCAACCATGGGCGACCAGGGAAGATCAAAAGACGCTTTTTGGGGCTGAGAAATTAACCACCTGATGGGCACCAGAGAAGCCGAAGAAAGACTGTTTGGGTGTCGCTTGTTGACTCGGTGATTTATCATGCTGAGCATAAAAGGGGCGCTGCAAGTTTGACACAGCGTCTGCGTAACAGGCTATGCCAATGGCCCTGGTGTTTTTTGGTTATGGTAATGATGTCATAAAATATACACTGGGCGCAACAAGATATGCTCACCAGTGTTTTTTTTTTCCTTTTTTTTTATCATGTAAGTAGCAACGCGGACTCCAGCCAACATGGACCTTACTGAGGTGTGTTTGTTAATCTGACTTTCTAAACGATTGATGCCTCAGTCTCTCTGTGTCTGCGCGACAGAGCTGCAACTTTTATCCTCTGGTCTGCATCCCCCTTGACGAGGGTTCTGTAGCCTTCGCGGACCGAACCTTTACAAAAATGGAGTTTGCCATGGTGGGTGCGGACGGCGGGTGCAACAGTCACCTGCCGTATGGATATGCCCAAGCCCGCGCGCGGGAGAGGGAGCGCGAGAGGGAGCGCCAGGTTGCCCATTCGAGAGCGACGGCCGCGGCTGCAGCAGCCGACGGTGGCTCCGGTGCGGAGGGAGGCGCGGGGGGGCCCACCTCCGCCACCTCCTCGGGCGCTCATCTCCTTAACAACCGCCAACATCAGTCTCGCGCCGCCTCCTCCTCCGCCAACATCAGCAGCAGCGGCGGCGCCGCCTTGCGCCCCTCCTCCTCCTCCACCTCCTCCTCGCAGCAGGAGCCCGAACAGCAACAGCAGCACAGAGTTCTCAGAGAGCGGAAAAAGCAGCGCGGCGTCGGTCGGTGGAGGCGCAACCGGAGCACTCTCGGAGGGGACTTGCGCCACTCGGAGCTGGCGCTGCTCGGATCCGAGGAGGACATCATGATAGAGGAGGAAGAGGCCGAGGGAGCGGAGGAAGAGGAGGAGGAGGAGGTGGAGGGGGGAGAGGCGGCGGAGGGCGGACGGGGGAGCAAGAGGTCGAGCTTTCTGTGCAACATGGATGATGAGGAGGAGACCGTGTCTATCACCGACAGGCGTCCCCAGTCCGGATACGAGAACGTTTACAGCGAGTGCGGCTGCTGTGAGAGGGTCGTCATCAACGTGTCGGGGCTGAAGTTTGAAACTCAGCTGAAGACGCTCACTCAGTTCCCGGACACCCTCCTGGGAGACCCCGACAAGCGAATCAGGTACTTTGACCCGCTGAGGAATGAATACTTCTTCGACAGGAACCGGCCGAGTTTTGACGCCATTCTTTACTATTACCAGTCAGGAGGGCGGTTAAAAAGACCTGCCAACGTCCCGTTTGACATCTTTTCCGAGGAGGTAAAGTTTTATGAACTCGGCGAGGAGGCGATACTGAAGTTTCGGGAGGATGAGGGGTTTGTGAAGGAGGAGGAGAAACCTCTGCCGGAGGACGAGTTCAAGCGCCAGATTTGGCTCCTTTTTGAGTATCCAGAGAGTTCGAGTCCTGCCAGGGGGATAGCAGTGGTGTCTGTCCTGGTCATAGTCATTTCTATTGTCATTTTCTGTCTGGAGACGCTGCCCGAGTTCAGGGATGAAAAAGAGTATCTGCAGCCACGCCAGAACTCCTCTCAGCCTGACCACGGATTTACACCTTTCAACGACCCGTTTTTCATCGTGGAGACGGTCTGCATCATCTGGTTCTCCTTTGAGATTATAGTTCGATTTTTTGCGAGTCCAAGCAAGACAGCTTTCTTTAAAAACATAATGAACTCTATAGATATCGTATCCATTTTGCCTTACTTCATAACCCTCGGCACGGACCTGGCGCAGCACCAGGGAAACGGGCAGCAGGCGATGAGTTTCGCCATCCTGAGAATAATCCGCCTGGTCAGGGTGTTCCGCATCTTCAAACTATCTAGACACTCCAAGGGGCTGCAGATCCTGGGGCATACCTTGCGCGCCAGCATGCGGGAGCTGGCCCTCCTCATTTTTTTTCTGGTAATAGGCGTCATCCTGTTCTCCAGCGCGGTGTACTTCGCCGAGGCGGACGAGCCCACCTCGCAGTTCACGAGCATCCCCGACGCTTTCTGGTGGGCCGTGGTTACCATGACCACGGTGGGCTACGGCGACATGAAGCCAATCACTGTCGGTGGGAAGATAGTGGGCTCCCTTTGCGCGATCGCGGGCGTGTTGACCATCGCGCTTCCTGTGCCCGTGATAGTGTCCAACTTTAACTACTTTTATCACCGGGAGACGGACAACGAGGACCAGTCGCCCGTGGTGGAGAGCATGCCGCCGGGCTGCCCGTACTTCCCGGACTTTCTTAGGAAGTTCAAAAGCTCGCCGTCTGGCTCCTCGCTGGGTGACAAAGGGGAGTACATGGAGATGGAGGAGGGGGTGACGGAGTCGCTCTGCGGGTTGGACAAAAGCCCCAGTAAAGGAAATGGCACAGACATAAGCAGAAAAAACAGTACTAACTCGAAATCAATTCAGACTGACGTGTGACTAAGAGTTTTATTTTATTATTTTCTAAACACGATACACATCCGATTAAAGACTCTTTCTGGCCAGCAGCAGCTGAATCATACCCCCCAATAGGCCTATATACGTTTTACGCACGCCTCACACAGACGCACACATACACACACACATTCACACTCATAGGCCACCAATTGGCACCTTAATGGCATCCATGCCTAAATTTGCCTGATAGACACAGATATATCCGTTTATCCAGTGTGGGCTTCCAAATCTGACATGGAATCTGAATTAGACAACAGGCTATGCATTCGCACTTTATGACTTTCATCTGTCACATCACAGGGGTAGAGATGGTCGTTTTTTGCTGTTATGCAATAAAGTTAAAATTTGTTTGCACTATAACGTAGAATTTGCGCTGGGTTAGAGACAGTAACTGTAGGCCATTCAGATGGCAACATTGTAGTCATCCTCTGCTCACCTGGATACAGAATGTATGAGTAGAGAAAAGGGGAAACTATTTCACTTAGTCTGCCAGAAAATAAAAATATAAAACTGAGCTCTATTCACATAAAAAAAGCCTAAGAGAGAATACTTTTATCTTTGTTCATTTAAAATACTCAAACAAAAATGATCTACACATTGATGATATATGTCATAACGTAGGCATTAAATAAACCAGGGCTATATTGAAATAAGCTTTTCCATAAGAGGCCAAAAATAATAATAAAAAAAGACCCACAATGAGAGCTAAGCACAGGTGTCATCATTGTTTAAAATGGCTGGAGAAGTCACCCAGCCCAGGTTTTCTATGGACACTCTTAAAGCCTCGGCTGCAACATTTTTTTTTTTCATTTAAAGCACCTCAAAATGACAATATCCCTTTACAAAGATGAATATGGAAAGTTACAGCGTAAAAGACTCTGATGTGGGAACTCTCTAAAAGGAGAGATTATGAGCAATTTTCTCGCCTTTCTGCTGGACTCAGTGCACAAAAAGGTATATATATATATTTATATATACCCATATTTTATTTATTTTTTTTGCTCAAGAGGACTTTGATTATCTCCGAGCACAGAAGATAATCAGGATGTGGATGTCTTCCAAGGTATGTAGTGTTCAATTTCTGCGTAAAGCTAACTTTTACTGAATTGTGATTGTGGGTTTTTGATGTAGGTAATCATAGTTGTGGCTCATTGGCCACGGTGGCATAGTCTTGGGGAGGCACACGTAAGCAGTAATACATGTATCTGTTAGTTTTGAATCAAACACACTTACTGCATTATACCCTTTAAAGATAGTGTAAAAATGTGGTCCTATACAATAGATGGGTAAAAAAAAAACTGAAGTTAGAATCTGATTCCTACTTTCTATTTTGATGTTAAACTAAAGAACTGCAGTTAGTTTTTAAGGAGCATAGCTTAATACCTTAATGTTTAATATGTCTCATGTGTTGTTGTGGAAGACAAATACTGGATTATAAAGGCACTGATGAGACTGTGCTTAAAAGATATCCTGAAGAGCCTGGACTCAGTTTTCTGCCATTATTAGTTAATGGTTCTCTTTTACAACATGCAGGGATCTAATTATATTTGATCAATTAATAACAGCTGCCATTATCTCATTCAAGGTGACATCAGGTCAGCCTCCTCAGAACTTGTGCCAAATGTTTTTGGAAAGTTTCCAGCTAAGAATTTTTGGACTTTTGTACAATCACTTTTTATTTTACTTTTAATTAAACTCAATAGGATATTGAATGTGATCATTTTTATATAACTCTTGATAAAGTGCTGAAGTAGTCCAGAGTTTTCTTCTTTTCCCTACTACACAGTTCAGACATAAAACGCTTATTTATAAGACTTGTCAGGTCTCAGCTTTCTAGTTCTTTTACTGCATTTTCACTCCAAACAGCAGATGTAGTAGGAGGAAACTAACATGAAGATCTGGTGTGTAGTACTCATAATAAGTCCAATAAATTAACTTTTATGCTCTCAGTGTTTTAGTAAAGCTTTCTTGCATACTCAATCTAACCATGTCTAAAAGGTTAAAGCTTTGGACCAGGGAGAAGTGTGCTTTGGATGTGTAATGGTTGCAGTTGTGTTTGTGCTGAGCAGCATTTGGCAGTAGAAAGATGGCTTTACAACCAGAGGAAAATTTCACTCTGTTTACTCTAAATCTCTCAGTTAAGAGTGTACAGAGGAGTAGGACTCCATGACATCAGCTAGTTTGAAAGCCGAATATGCCTCTTAGAGAAAGTGGAAAGTTTTCAGCCTTCAGTGCAGTTTATTCTCAGAATGAACTCACAGTCCTGGCCAGACATTTACGTTCACTCATCATCAGCACATGTGGATGTCATGTTAAATTTGAGTAAATGACTTTGATTTATTATAAAGACAAGAATTGGGTGCACAATTACAAATGTCTTACAGTGCATCTGGAAAGTATTCACAGTGCTTCACTTTTTCACATTTTATGTTACAGCTATATTACAAATTGTATTAATGAATCTTTTTCCTCAAAAGTCCACACACAAATGTGGGGAAAGGTTTGTGAGATATTTGTAAATTTATTAAAATAGAAAACCAAGAAATCTCATTTACATAAGTAAGCACAGCTTTTGCTCAGTGCTTTGTTCGTCCACGTTTGGCAGCAATTACGGCTTCAAGTCTGTTTGAATGTGATGCCTCTTATCTATAGGCAGCTTCCCCCATTCTTCTTCACAGTACTTCTCAAACTTCATTAGGTTGGGAGATGTCTGTCAGCCACTTTTTAGATCTCACTAGAGAAGTTTACTCCAGGACATTCACAGAGTGGTTCTGAAGCCATTCCTTTGAGATCTTGACCAAGTGCTTTGGGTCGCTGTCTTGCTGAAAAATGAACTGTTGCCCCAGTCTGAGGTCAAGATGCTCTGGAGCAGGCTTTTCAGCCAGGTTTCTCTATACATTGCTGCATTAAACTTTCCCTCTATCCTGAAAAATTCACCAGTTCCTGCTGCTGCAAAACATAGCATGACGCTAGCACCACCAGGCTTCACTGTAGGGAAGGGCTGATTGTTTAAACCTGAAGAAAATTGGATTCCAGCATGATAATAGTACTAAACAGACATGAAAACCTTTTCTGGTTAGGACAAAGAAGGCTGACATTAAGCCTAAGGAATTGCCCCAACTTCACCCCTAATGAAAATGTATAGACTATGTCTAAAAGTTAAGTGTGTACTAGGAAATAGCTTACATCTAAGATGCAAGATGCTAATTCTAATTTTCTAATTATACCAAAAAAGTTATCAAAACATCAAATCCAATCAATTGCTTTTGACCATAAATAATTTACATTTTAAAGAGGCACAGCCGGAGTTCGGACTTAAATATGAAAGAAAATCTGAAGGCGGTCAGAAATTTAGCGGATGGTAAGAAATAATTTCAACCACAAATATGTCATGCCCATCCACAAAGATGAATGATCAAAATATCAGTGTGAGCAATTAAAAAAATGGATTTGACTGCTGCAGCCCAAAAATGCCTCCAACTGTGAATAAAAACATGAAAAGTATTCTTCCAAAACTGATGCCCTTTCACATCGCTTTGTTATCCTTTTAGAGATCTTTACCTCATTTCTTATCAGAAACAAACCTCTTGGTAAATTCATTACTGTGAATTTGCTATGAAAATAGCACACTCCAGTGCTTTTCATACAGCACCAGAATATTTACATAAAAACTTAATTTCCAACTTAACTTCTAATTTAGCAGACTGATTCAGCCATCACACATTACATCAGCGCATCTCACAACACAATCACAGCACCGGTGCATAATAATTTGTTGCATAGCTTATATCCTCGGAGGAGCTATTCATACAAGATATTTTTAACACCTACACCCACATCCAAACATCCACAGCACCATGCTGGCACCCAGCCAGCTCCTGACACCTCACACTCAGCACTTACATAATGTGGCTTACAGCAAGAGGCACAATCCAAAACATTTTTCAGCAAAGTGTGTGTGGGTCAGGCATATTCTAAGGCTTGTGGCTGCTGAGCTGACTGTGAAAACAGCCTGTATCATCTTCAGCCACGGAGGCACTGTGAATCCTAATGTCACGTGCAGGCTGATTGTTTGTAGTGCAGATACCAACCATATGGCTTGGCTACGTGAGGAGAAAATCTGAGGTATTTATGGGTATTTCTCCAAAGGTATGTCGAGCCCGTCGAAGGACATAGAGAAGAAGTGGAAATAAATCAGCTGTAGATAATGTCAGACTAGGTTACGTAACAGTAGGGCAGAGTCCAAATTAGTCTGGCTGGGCAATAGAAAGTTAAATGGCAGTTCTGCTAATCAGATAATAGTCAGAGACAATTTATCTGTAATACTGAGCTGGTCTGAAGGATTTAGATGTTTTTATTGAAAGTAGAAGAAATACGACCTGCATTAGATTTTTACACGAAATGTTTGATCAACACACAACTCTAGGTTGTATCAGAACATCTGTAAGAAGTTCTGGCCATTGATAAATGTATACTCCTTTCTAGTTCTCTGTAGGGAATCTCATCCTGTAGACCAAAGTCTTGAGGTCACCTTTGTAAGACATGTAACCAAAGTCAGAGAGAAGTCAGTAACTGTGCAGTTCCCTTAAAGGTTTCTGTGTTACACGAGCTTGATTTTATTAATTACAAATATATGTTGCATGATGTTGTAGTATAAAAATATTATTAGGATATTCTTTTCAGAGGAGAACGAAAAACAGTAATTCTAAATAATGCACGTTGTACACAAATTGCACACATAATAAATTAAATAAATAAATATACAAAAATATTGTGATAACAGGGCAACAGTCTAATGCTTTAAGTTAACTTTTAGCATTATTTCAAAAACTAAAATTTCTCTTTTAAAAAAGTAGTGTGCATGAAACAAGGTTAGGTTTGGTGTTTGGAAATAAATATAAATATGAAGCGTTACCTTTTTTATCTCTCTAATTGCTAATTTGCTGCCCAATATTTAAGCAATTTCAATTTACAAATGCTTTAAATGATTAAATGATTTGAACTGAACAACAATGTAACAAACATTCCTCAAACAATGCCACAATTAGAAAGTGTAAACACTCTTGTGGAAAAAAAAAAAACACTTTACAAAGAGCAAAGTGTGTTGCTGTTTGTAAAGCAATACACTTTACAAGCAGCAACAAAGTTGCTTGCAAAGTGGACAGAGAATGTCCACTTTCTCTGTCCACTTTCTTCTCTGCCTCTTGTGGACAGAGAATGAAATTAGTTCATTCTCTGTTCACAAATCAATGCTGATCGACAACCTCCTGGGCATCGGACTGTCGTATTTTGAATTTTTGTACTTCAGGTTCATGTTTTTCAGCCAAGCAGCTTATTTTATATTTATTTAAATATTTCATTTTTTTTTTAAATATTTAAATCAGGTAATTAGAAAAATAATCCCAATAACACTACTTGGTATTAAATTCTAGTGAAGCTACTAAAACCTGATGGTTTTCAACAACTTTGCTGTCAGGTGAAGTACATAAAGCCGATTTCAGTTTCATGCAGCTCAAAAGACAGGGTTCAATCCACCAGTACCACTAGCAACAGGCAGCTTCCAGCTGCTCCTCCAGCAATCACAGTAGCACAATATCTTTCAGTATGTAGCTTTGTAAAACATGGTAGCTCTGATTATATGTTAGCTGAAGCATACTTACCTACGAACTGATTTCAGGATTTCTTGTCACCAGATGTTGCTTCAAGTTTGTTGTGTTGTTGTTGTATCTTAAACCTTTTGCCATGTGAAACATTCAGTCCAGAAATGCTCGGCCACCTCCTCGGCTCCACCATTCACTTCTACCTTTGAACGTACTTAATAAAATTAGATCATATTAGATTTCACCCTAAGTTTTCTTTTTTGTTTTTACTTATTTATTGTATCAATTTCATAAGTTTTCTTTATTCTAACAGGCTTCAGTCTGAAAAAAGAGAAAATTATGCTGAATATCATTGTTCAGCAAAAAATGTAATACTTTGTGCCAAAGTTTTTAGAGAATAAAACAGAGCTGTCTGCTGCAGGACATTTTGTACCAGCCACACATCAATTCGCATTTGCTTTGGGATATTTCTACTCTGAAAATGAGCTATTTTTTAAATAATTTTTGTTATTCTACTGATAGTATACAATGGAAAATATGGTTTTGTTACGTCACCTAACATGTGATGACTGAGCTATTCTGGTTTTGATCTGGGTTCATAATCTCATATTTCATAAGCGTCAATAGACCTAAATGAGAATCAAAATAAATAAAAATAAGATGCAATGCAAAGTTCCAGGATATATTCAATTAAATTGAGTTACACTTGAGATTTGAGCATCTTTGTGAGTATTTTCACAAACATAATATCGAAGACTACTGAATCGATATGCAAAGGTTTAAGTATGGGTAGGAAATGAAAGTTTGTAGGGACAAAATATCCCCCAATTAAATTGGGGCTATAAATTGCACCCAAAACACACCAGAAACTGGTTGTTGCTCTGTAATAAAGAACAAAAGACACTGTAAAGAAAAGTAGAAGGGCTGCATTGCTTGTTTAATATAGATCTTTGAGGTGGAAATGTTCTTAACTAGGGGTGTAATTTTCTCATGCAGAGGAATGCTTGCTTGATGATGTTTTCATAATAATCTAGAGTTCAATCAGCTCAGCATTACAAGTTTTAAATATCCCCTAATTTAGCTGTACATTCTTTTTTGTGAAGCTTCATAATGGTGGCCTCTTTTCATAATGCTTCTTCTTAAACAGTTTCAGGTGTGAATAATAGACTCAGCTTCAGGTTTTCTCTGCCCTGTCTGCTTCAACAGTTGTGTCACTGAATTAGGCTCTGCACATTCTGCAGTCTGTGTTTTAGTGACTCCTTCAGACTCAAACAGCCTGATCTGCATACAGGATACCAAATTGTGCTGACAACCGAAAGGTCAAAGTCACGACTGACCCTGCTGAATAATAGCTCATTTAGCTGAAGAGAAAATGACTCCCACCTGCAGCCAGGACAGCCATCCATCTTCTGGATCTGTGTAGACGTGCTCAGGGTCACAGAGTGCTGGAGTCCATCCCAGATTACACCAGGCGAGCTACAGGGGACACATCGATGGGACACTGTAGAGTCAGATAAAAAAAAAAAAAAAAAAAGCGCATTGAAATTCAGCAATAGCTAAAACGACTGCAGTCTAACACAATGGTCCTGCAATCAATTCTTTCTCTACAAAAGATCCCGCTTCAGAGAGGTGTTGATTTGCCTACCAATTATCTAGATGGAGGAAATGAGTGCGACAGTTTTCTCGTGAGGATTTTAAATATTTTTCCTGCCCCCTGAAGGCAGACCGCAGTCGATACTGGAAACACCCATCAGTGTAACTGCACCCTTTAAATGTGGGCATAAAACTGAATGGCTACCTGCCTGAAACGGCCTTTCGATAATCTTTGATTTTCATCAGTGCTGAAAATACATTCGTGGTTGCTAAACAACTGCTACTTTTATTTTTTTAGAGTCCACAAAAATGGAAATTAGTTGTTAGAGTAAAATGTTTGAGTAAATTGCATTGAGAACTCTTTTTAACAATTAAACATTTAAAATAAAATTCTAGTGGACTTGCCAGAAAACTGAAAACAAATAGTTTTTCAGTCTTTGATTTGGGTAATAATTCAAAACAAATGATAAAATTATCGCAGAAATGATTCACCACTCACAAAGCCAACATCCTTCTATGGTCATCTCAGTTCTAGGACCAATAAACTTTAGTCATGAGAGCTTACTGGAGGACCGAGCACTCTGAACAAACCAGAGGAACAGTCTGCTTCTTAACATGTTTTTTTTCTGGCTATTTTAAATCAAACGTTGAGATTTTGTGTAAAATTATGCTACTGAAAAAATTATGAAATTATTTTAAAGCTTTGAACATCTTTGAAAGAGTTGCACATACCGGTAATGTTGAGAAAGTGCTACAACGTCTTTCTCAAAGCAGCTTAACTGCCAGTTATGCCTTGTTTACACAAACGTTTGGTCATTTTTACTCATCCCTCCGTTTTGCTGATGTATGCCTTCTATTCTGGCTGCATCACCACTACCAAAAACAGCAAAGGAATAGTGGAAGCTCTCGTCATTGTTATGGTTTCCATGCTCTTGTGTCTGCACACTATTGTCTTTTTGGATGTGTGGCAGATAGAAACAAAGATGGATGTTAAAAATTACCTTACAGTTGTCAAAATCTCTGACGGGTAACTTCAATAGTAGAAGAGCTCTAAATTGCCCAACAAACTTTCTGTAGCTGCTTGAAAGTGGTGGGATAGTGACAGTAATTAGTAATGAAAGATTTCTGGATGTTTAATGTGGTCTCAACAGTGTTAACCACACACGCAACTCCTTTTGTTGTTTGTCCCAGTTACTGAAATAAGGAAAGCGCTTTTGTCCTAAAAAACACAGTTTACTAGAGGTTAATCAGTGTAACAAGATTAGATCTTAAAATCATATTACATATAAAAAGTCAAGTGATCTTTAGTGGTAGCACAAAAATCACTTCTGATTTTGAGGGGCAGAAAAGTAAAGTAATCTGCAAATCAAAATATCCCACCTCTCTTGATGTACAAGGTACCACAAATAAAACTACATCTTAAAGATAGGAATTGATCAAATAAAATCACAAGGAATTGATCTTATACTGGTGAAGATTAGTGTTGAGTCAATTGACAGCCAGCAAAATTAGCTTAAGCAATATTTTCTTCACTGGGACTGAAGTTAACTGGATTTTTTTTTTTTTTACGTGAATGACTATTTGTGTTCAAATGGACTGCATTTGTAGATGCTTTTCTGAAGAAACACTGATTTCTATGACTACTTTGAAAGATCTTTGTTTTTATTTGTAAAAGTCTGAATTTGCCAAATGTTCACAGCTGTATGAAACATTGCTGACATTGATATCATCTCTTCTTCAAGATCATCGTGACAATTAAGCTCTTTGACTTTCCCTCCTGGACATTTGATGGTTCTGCCCTGAACTAAACTGGCAATAAACTTCTGAACTTTGCATCAAACTTCTTTTGTTATACCTGGTTTTGAAGGACTTAATAATCACCAGCTGGCGGCATCACATACAAAATGTGTAGCTGTTGCTAAAAAGTGGAAAGGGTACAATTAATACCACTGGACCTTTCTATTATACCAGAAAATAAGATTTCTATGAATTCTTATTACAATGATATCAAGTTTCCTACAAAGTCCTCTAAGCATGGAATCTGATAAGATCATTTTCCACTTGTTAGGTTTAGAGAAACAAAATTATGAAAATTTAAATTTTGAAGTTGTAAAATTTCATTTGTTTTTGTATTTGTAAGTTATTGACAATAAAGAGGGACATTTTCTTACTGTAATGCAGTTCTAGGTTAAATTCAGTGAATTTAGTGAATTCACTGAATTTAACCGGAGGTTCAAATCACTTAAACCATGTTTTTATTTCACAGTCTAATTTATGATATTACTTATCACAAACTTTGCCTTAAAAATATATTTATTCTTGAATAATGAAGTACAGATTAAATAAAGTGCTAGTAGTTTTAAAATAGAGCTGATTGAAGTTAGATTTTTCCATCCATTCCACGTTTTTCAGGTTTCATTTGTAATGCCTGACCGCTTTCCTAAATTTATAATGAACTCTTCTATTTATATTGCACAAACTGGCTTAGAGACTGGATTTTTTTTTTAAATATGGAAAAGTGTGAATTTTTCACAAACTGAATATCTAGGAACCTTGTAAATATAAGACAGACAACCAAAGCAGATCAAAAACCCAATGATTGAAAAACATTGAGCAACATCAAGATCAAACCCAACTAGACATGGAGACATAAAAACATGGAGACATAAAAAAAACATTCAGGAATTTCAAATGACCAAAACCCACAAGGTTTTGGTCTGTTGGTGGGCTTTCTTGTTGTTTTTTAATTCTTGTGTTTCCATGAACTTTTTTTGACCATACTGTTATTTGGACAAACAAAAAAGGCTTCCTGATGTTTTA